ACTTTCTCCAGAAAACATTATGGTCTTGAAGACTGCAAGCACGCGGAGTGTAAATTTCGGAGCACTAGCTTTACTGCGATGCGTTGTAAACTTGAAAATCCGCCAATGCTTTTTGCGGTTTGTTTTAATACACATGGTCACCTTCATTTCTGTTGTTGATTTCACTTGACCTGTCGTAATTTGTCTCGTTATTGCCCAGCTTTTTGTACATTTGTTTGTTCTCTTTTTTGTCGAATGGCACGTCTACACCTGGACATGCCCCCTAGTTTGAATGAATCAGAACACGTAAAAGTGTCATGTGCTTCAGCTCTACGGAAAAAACACACAGTAGGACTGCTGTGTGTTTATGAAAATTGCGCTATCCAGTGAATGCGTGGCGTGACCAGCATATAATAAACAAACAGCGCAGCAAAGAAATGGCAAACACTTCTCATTCAGCTAATTCAGTTTCCCTCTGGACGAAGTAACAATATTCGCAAAATACGCCAAGGTAAAACGCTAAAGGTCCCGTTAGCCTCAGTGAAAAACCAGTAAAAAATATAACGGAGTGGCAACGTAGTCACTCCGGGTAACCGATGTGAAATACCGGTAAAACGTACTCCGGCGCACCACGCTAATTTTCAAGCGATCCGGAATGGAAATTTGGTTAGAGAGGCTCAGCATAAAAATTACTCCGAATAAGGAGGCTGCTAGAGAACACGCGTTTTACATCCAACTGCCAGTAATTTTCTTCTGCAGTGCACGTCCCTTTCATCGCTTAAGAAAACCAACAAACCTTAACACACAGACGCATTTGTTGTCCAGGAAGATAGCGATTAGCCTACCGCGAGTTAAGAAAACACAAATCGCTTAAACGACGAGTAATGCAAGATACAATGTACATGGCGTTATTTGTTGTTATTATTTCACATCGCAAAAACCATTAAAAAGACTTATATGTATCATAAGTGTGAGAGAGAATGCAGGATTTGATCTTGGAGGGATGGGAGCCCAAAAACTGCTTCGTTATCATGAGCTGTCTTGTGCTATAAATTTGTCTCTTCTTGTGTGTAACACAACAAAACACCGATTAAATCTTCATACGAGGTAAGTGCAGCAGCCTAATATTCTGCATTCCTTAAGTCTCGTGTAACACAAGAAAACAGTTTTCTCAGAACATGACAGCTTCAGAGACCAAAGCAGTATTTGTGCTCCTATTGCCCCAAGATCGATTCCGGCGTTGCCTATCACACGGACGAAACAGCTATCTCTTTATATGGTTTTTGTGTTTTGGTATGAAAACATTGTAACATGAAAGAGCCCCGTCTTTACCGGATCTAGCATTAGTCCTAGTTTAAACGATTCGTATTTGGCAAGTCACGGTAGGCTAATGAGTAGTCTCCTGGACAAGGATTGTTATCGGTGAGTTAAAGGGGCCCTGAAACACTTTTTTAGTAACCATACAAATATTATACTCTAACAGCGTATTACCTCACGAATGCAACGCCACAAAAATTTTAGGAATTCGTCCAGTACGAGCGGAATTAGAAAGATTTGTCACACGCTGCAATTGCATTGTCCCTTCTCTCGTCCCAACGAAAGGTATAGAAGCTAAGCAGGGAGATATGGGACGGGCTGAGAAAAAAAAAGTCACTCGTGCCTCGGGACCTTGAGCATGTTTTTTCTTTTTTTTCTTTGAATTCGTGACTTTGCAGTGCGATCGCGTGCGCACACGTGGCCAAGTGACGGCCTCTCGCGGCGAACTCTGTAACAACCGGGCGCGCCATGTTCAAATCAGCCAATGGCTGATATATGGGCTCACCACGAGGGATTTTTGGGCTTATTCTGTGATTTGTCGAGAGAAGAGAAAGCTATTTTTAGCTGACTTTTGATACTTTCTTGGGAATTCAGAGGCCGCGTGCCACGCTCTAGTATATGAATCGCGTGTTGTCGGGAGCCTCTACTACCGATCGGAAGCGTTTTCTGACCATGCTCAAAAAGTGTTGCAGGGCCCCTTTAAGGTTTTGCTGTTTTTTTTTTTTTACACTAAAAAAGGTGAAGTGAATTGCATAAGAAAAGCACAGCCAGTTGGACGCGAAATACCTGTCCTCTAGCAACATCGCCATCCGGAGTAATTTTCATTCCGATTATCTCGTGCCAAGTTTCTGTTCCGGCTAGCTATAGAAAAGGCCTGGCGCAGCCAGAGTACGTTTGATCTGCCTTTGTCTTCGGGTAACCGAATGGACTTCCTGGGCCCTCCATTTTATTTTTTTGCTGGTTTTTCACTGAGGTGTATGAGACTTCTGGAATTTTACCTTGGCAGTATTTTATGAACATCGTTTCCTAGTCTGGACGGAAATTTAGTCAGCCGAACCAGATGTATTTATTTCTTTGTATGCTTGACTGTTTATTTATTTTCTGCTGGCAGCGCAACTCATTGGCCAGATGATGCAATTTTATGACAGCACAGCAATCTTACAGTGTATATTTTCCGTAGGGCTATAGCACAAAAAACTCAAGGCAATACTTCAGTTGTCTGATTTATTTAAAATAAGCGGATATGTCGGGGTGAAGACTTGACATTTGAAATGAAAGACAACAACCAAATGTACAAAGTCCCGTGGAACAACGAGTCACATTACGACAGATCACGTGAAGTCAACAGCTCGAATAAAACTGACCGCCTGAATAACGAAAATATTGAAAAGCAATGCCGGAATTCTAAATCTACACCACAAGGCGGTAAAGCTTGTGCTCCGAGATAAACATTCTTGGTGTTAGCCGTCTTTGAGGCCATAACTTTTTCACAATAAAGTGTCTCCTACTGCCAGAAGCCGGCAGCACCCTGCAGGCAGGCTTCCTTGAAAGGAGCCTTTTCGAACGTGGCGCGCTGCCTATTATAGCGACAGTGCTTCGGATATCTTGATTGTACAAACACGGCGCACACAATCCGCGTCAATCCGCGTCTAGCCATGAAAAGCAGCCGCGCGACCATTTCGATAACCACTTTTTCACCACGTTTTTCTGTTCTTGGTCCTTCTGCCCAGCAACAAATGCCTTCACAACAAAAGACTTCACAACAAATGCCAATATTTTTGCTGTTCCCTTGAGAGAGAGAATAAAACGAGGGAAAGGCAGGAAGGTAAACCGAAAATCGGAGCATACGGTTATCTACCCTGCACTAATAAAATTAAAAAATGGGGAACAAAGTTGGGAAAGAAACTGAAGAGAAAAATTAACGCAAGAAAAAAAAAATGGCAGCATATCCACGGAGTGAATGATGGAGAGTGAGGCGAAGCATTCGTCCGTCGATGCGTCCGTCTGTGTGACCGTCCATGCGTCTCTGCGTCCGTTCATGCGTCCATCCTTGCATCTGTCTGTGTGTCCGTTCGTCCATCTATTCAACACTCCAAGTCCCACTATCTCGCATCTTTTTATCATATATTCCCCATATAGAAGCACCGCCATTCAGTGGACAATCCAAGGACTAAACGAGAGGTGGCACACGCACACTTTGTTACGGCTTGCGCTTCGGGTCTACTTCCCACCTTCAACCACCTTGAGTTCATGGTATATACTAGTTCACTGTATTCATGGCACTGCGGCCCAATGCTCGCTAAACCTTTCTAAAACCAAGGAGGTTATGCCCAGCGAGTATAACGTAGCAACCTTTTTCTGTCAGATAGTGCTCAATGTACATGCCAGTAGCTGCTAATCTGAAATGAGAGACAGGAGGATTCAGCTTTTAATTTCTTACGGCTTGCGCTTCGTATCTGCTTCCCCCCTTTAACCACCTCGAATTCATTCATGGTATATACTAGTTCATTGTATTCATGGCCCTGCGGCTCAACGCTCGCTAAACCTTTCTAAAACTAAGGAGGTTACACCCAGCGAGTGTAATGTAGCAACCCTTTCTTCTCCGATAGTGCTCAATGTACATGCCAATGGCTGCTAATGGGGATCGCAGCGTGCGCGTTGACTAAAAGCCGAATGCTCCTGTCTCTCATTCCCCATTAGCAGCCATTGGCATTTACATTGAGCACTATTTTTAATTGTTAAACAACGCACAGAAGAAATCTTTCACCGGCACCACCTTGGAGGTCAAATGTTATACCTATTTCGGGTATGTGCCACTGGTGGTTACGTACTAACGGGGGACGCACAAGCCACGCCATAAGGAGCTTCGCCCCTAAAAGTAAGCTGGGGTGGGGTGTCTTTGCCCATTCAATAGGCCACTACCACGCAAAAAGTTCAATAAGGTCTTCACTGATTTTTCGTGCGTAGCAAGATTATTAAAGTTTCATCGGAGCTCAACGTTGCTAGAAAAAGCAATTTTTTTGCCTACATGGGCAGAGTTCATTAAGCAATGGCCACTTTTTTGCGGCGATAGAAGACAGTAACGGTAAAGCCTAACATATCTATTCGCGCTGTTGATTTCACGTGATCTGTCGTAAATTTTCTTGATGTTTCGAGGCTTCTAGTACACTTGGTGTTCTTTCGTGTCTTTCTTCTCAGATTCTAGGTCTTCACCCATACAATTCTTCCTTTTTTGATGAGTCAGAAAACACTAGTACTGTCCTGAGTTTTCTGTGCTATAGCTATACGCATTATATACACTGTAAGACTGCTGTGTTTTCATACAAATTGCATCATCTAGCCAATGCGTGTGTTTAGAAAAATGTTCAACGATTTCGAGTACTTCGTACTCGATTATGAGAGATCTAGAAAAAGCGTTTGACAACATACACCACTCATTCATACTGGAAGCAATTTCCAAGCTTGGTCTGGGAAAAGCCTTCTTTGACTACGTATGGTCCTTTCTTACAGACCGGAAAGCCGTGATGAAGATTGCAGATATCGAGACCGCAGCAATAGAACTAGAAGCAAGGGGCACGCCGCAAAGGGCAGTGATTCCACCAATGCTGTTTATATTGCCATATTTGGACTGTCAAAAAAATTATTGAGCATCGAAGGATTGATTCACAGCATCTACGCAGATGACATTACCATCTGTTGCACAGGTGGAAGCGAGGGGCAGATTGATAGCGCCCTGCAAGGGGCGATTGACACCGTAGAAGAGTACCTTCGTCCTTCGGGGCTCAAGCGCTCCTCGAGTAAGTCAGAACCTTTACTGTATCGGACTACACGCTGGAGACCGAAGCCCAGGGGATGGAAGCCGTTAAACCAGACAGACATCCACCTCCGTACCAATCAAGGGGATGCCATCCAGAGGATGGACTCCATCAAAGTCCTCGGCAAGTTGATAGAGTCTACCGGCGCTAACAGCATGTCTATAGCCAAGTTAACTTGGAAAACAGACAGTGTGGTGCACCTCACACGCAAAGTGGCCAACAAAAGAAATGGGATCAAGGAAGACAATCTCATCAGGTTGATGCGTGCGTTTGTTCTAAGCCACTTCACGTATAAGGCAGCAATGCACAACTGGTTTAGAGCAGAGTCCGAGATACAGAATGTGCTCCTCATGAAAGTTATCAAGAAGGTCCTGGGCCTACCCATACATATCAGCACGGAGCGTCTACTTGAGCTTGGCTTTCACAAGATGCTCGAAGAATAGCAGAAGCCCAAGAGAGCTTAGTTTGCAAGGTTATCTACAAGGTAGGGAGAGAACTATCCTGCAGGAGCTGGGCCAACACTCAATAGCAACTAGACGCAATTACAATGATATCTCCGACACATCAGGGAGAATATCACGGTATCTCCTATACCACAAAAGAAGCATCCAGAACACAACATCGGAACAAGAGTAGCGAGGGCCAGTACTATACTTCGTCAAGTCTCAAACGAGGAACGAGGAGTCGTATTTGTTGACGCGGCTTCCTACGCCAATCGGAAATCTTTTGTGGCAGTGGTGGTCGATGGGGCTGGCCGTGTCGTCAACTCAGCGACGGTCAGGACGAAAAACCCAATCATTGCGGAACAGGTGGCCGTCGCCTTAGCACTGAAGATGGATAACATTGAAGTCATCTACAGTGATTCCATGGCAGCACTGCGGGCCTTCGCAAAGGGGACGGTCTCAGAACAAACGCTGAGAATACTACATGACAAGATATAGCGCATCATCTTCTCAGTTGGTTCCCAGCTCACCTTGGACAAATCAACGACTCCCCTCACAATCTCAATGAAGCAGCACACGAGGTGGCGTGAGACCTTATACAACCGCGCCTTTCCGGGGATGCGTTCTACTGGTGAATGGGATAACCGGGAAATTTTACAACATATAACGAGCTCACTAAACATTTCTACATGTCTAGAAGGACTTTCCCTTCACCTCACAAACATCTAACTCGACCCCAAACACTAGCATTAAAACTGTTGCAAACGCGGATATACCCTACTTTGAAAATGTTACACATCATGTACCCTGACCTATACCCAAGTAATCTTTGCCCACATTGTGGGGAAATTGCTTCATTGGGACATATGCTTTGGCAGTGTACCAAATTCGCTCATTTATCGAACATCACCTCTGCCAGATGGGAGGCGGCAATCCGCAGCTCGTCCTTGGCAGAACAGCCCTGGGCTGTCTACCTAGCCCACGAGGCGGTTGAGGAGCTCGGCATCTCCGTCCCCACGTAGGAGCTGCCCGCAACACAGTGATATGTGTTTTGGAGGACCATATAAAAGTTTATCCAATCCAATGCATCTTTGAAACGTAGTATTCCTTCTCTTAAAATTAGCGATGGTGGTAACCGTTAACATTTCCATGAGTGGCTTTGCTACACGTCTGTCCACGCATGAAAGTGGCGCTTCCTAATAAACTCTGACGATGCAGGTAAAAATAATATACCTTATCTAGTAGCATTGAGTGCCGATGCCGCTTCCCAGGGAACAGCGAAGGAATCGAAATTTGTTGGCAAGTCCCCAGACAACAACAGTGAAGAGAAACAAAAAAAGAAGGAAATAGAGAGAAAAGTGTCTATCAAAACGATCGTGAGGTCACTTATAGTGGCTACACGCGGAATGACGCAGATTACGTGCGCCTAGTCTATATAATAAAGATATCGGAAGCACTGCCGCTAGAACAGGTAGCTCACTACGTTAAAAAATTGCTGCCCCTTTTCCTTTCAAGCAAGCCTGCCTGCAGAGTGCTGCCGGCTTCTGGCAGTAGGAGACACTTCGATCCGAAAACATAAAGGCTTCAAAGACGGCTAGAATCGAGAGTGTAAATCTCGGAGCACAAGCTTTACCGCTATGCGTTGTAGACTTCGAATTACGGCGTTGCTATTCGCGATTTCCGTTATTCACACTGTCAGATTTATTCGCGCTGTTGATATTACATGATCTAACGTAGCTGTTCTTGTTGTTTTGCGGCTCTTTGTACACTTGGTATTTGTCATTGTTTTCAAGCGCTAGGTCATCACCCAAATATGTCCGCCTATTTTGATAAATTAGACAACACAAGGGTTGTACCGAGGTTTCTATGCTATAGCTCTACTAAAGTTATACACTGTAAGAATGCAGTGCTTTCATAAAATTGCCTCATCTAGCCAAAGCTAGCGTGATCAGCCGAGAATATAAATATAGCGAAGCAGAAAAATGAAATATTAGTTGTTGTTCAGCTCACTATATTTCCATCAGAATGAAGTAACGATGTTCGTAAGATACTCCTAAGTAAACACTTAGGATCCCGATAGCCTCTCTGAAAAACCAGCAAAAAATACAACAGAGGGGCCACGCAGTCACCCAATTATCTGAAGTCAAATCCCGGAAAAAGATACTTTGGCTGGGCCACGCGTTTTCTTCACTGTGCCGCAATAGAAACTTAGCTCGAGAGGTGCGGATTAAAAGTTTTTTCGACCAGAAAGGTTGTTAGAGAACAGGCATTTCACTTTCAACAGGCAGTAATTTCTCCTTCAATACGCTTCCTCATTCTTCGCTTATGAAAACAAACACACCTTTACAAACCAACGACATTCTTTGCCCAAGAGAGTAATCATTAGAATATACCACGACCCTAAATATATAAATCACTTAAACGAAGACTGATGCTAGATCCGGTGAAGACGGTGCTGTTTTCTGTTATGTTATCATCTCAAATCGCAAAAACCGTATAAAAGAGAGATAATTCAGAAGTGTCACAAAGAAAGGGGGGGCGCGATCTTAGGATAGTGGCCATACAAAAATTGATTCAGCCTCATTGGTTGGCGTGTTCTATAAAATCTGTGTTTTCTTGTTTTACACAAGAATGGTTCTTGAGTAGTCGGCTTCTGCCTTTACCTTATATCTAGTTTTAATTTGTTGCTACTCTACTATGAAGGGCACCGTATTTTTTTTTCCCTGAGAGCTGCACAAGGAATTCACTCACCCTCGGAGCTCTTGTTGTGCACGACAATCCTGAATAGAGCCAGAAACGTGGTGCAAAGAACTCAAATTGTGTGTCTTAATTTTTTTGTGATGGAAGGTGCTCGATCATATGGGTACGTTCAATTTGCTGTATATTTGCTATATTTATTTACATAACTCTGGACGTCACACTGAGGCTTGAGTAACGTCAGGCACGTGAAAATGTTTTTTAGTGTTTCCATCCCTGAAACGTAGTATTCCTTCTCTTGAGATTGGCGGTGGTGGTAACCGCTAGCTTCTATCATGAGATGATTTGCTACTCCTCTGTCCACGCAAGAAAATGGCGTTTGTTAATGAACTCTGCCAATGTATGCCAGAATAATATTCCTTTGCTAGTAGCATTAAGGGGCCACGCTGCTTCCGACCCAGGTGAAGAATTCCTGCTGGTTTTTCACTGGGAGTTGCTGGTTTTCGATGGCACCAGCAGTTAAGCTGCTGGTTTCTTGCCGCTTGTACTGGTTCAAGCAGTGTGCCTACTGGTTTTTGCTGGTTCCAGCAGGGTACCTACTTGTTCTTTATTGGGACCAGCACGCTGCCTGCTGGCTTGCTGATGGTACCACCAAGCTGCCTGCTTGTTGTGCTGGTTCCAGTAGTGTGACGTTTGGTGTTCTGCTGGTTCCAGCAGGGTGCCTACTGGTTCTTTACAGGGATCAGTACACTGCCTACTGACCTGCTGGTGGTCCTAGCAAGCTGCCTGCTGGCTGTACTGGTACCAGCAGGGTACTCGCTGGTTTTCTGTACTGGCTTGATTGCCCGCGAAAAAAGCGTTTTTGTTTCGACCTTTCTTCAATCTCTGTATACAATCAGACCGTAGTGAGCTTGCTCTCGTCTGCTACAACGCTGATAAAGAGGCTAATGCTTCCATAAAGATCACCGCATTCGCTACGTTTTTACCGGCACCCAGCATTGAAAACCATTGAATTGGTCACAATACTAATTGACTGCTCAGTAGCATTACTCGCGTACCTATTATTGTCATTTTTATAACTAATACTGATTAGTTACCCCATTATTATTTGAAGTAGTGTACAATAAAAAGATTTATTAGTTATTTACAGGTAAAAACATAAAAAATAGCAGTCTTAAATAACGTATAAATTATTATGACGTCTTAGCGTCGTAGTTTAGTACAACGCATGTTGTGCTCTTGCCGTCACTTGTCTGTTTTTGTATATGTATGTTCGATGTGGTAGTTGGAAGTTTCCTCTGAAATCTATTTGAGATGAGCATATAATGGTTTATTTGGGGTCAGTTCCATCTGTGGAAAGTGTAACAATTGAATAGAAGCCTATTTCAGCTGTTTTGTTTTTATGTTATGCTGCGTATAAATTTCGTGAGTGTAGACTGAGGCCCACTGTGTATATGAGCGATTTCCATGCAGGTAACTTGCATATTTATTTCAAATACAAGTAAACCATGCATAACCCGATTGCTTGTGTTCTTCATTAGGCTCACTGTCGTTGTTCATTAGTGATTGTAATGTTAATTTGTTCGCATATTCTTGCCGGTTGCTGCAAGTAAGCCATGTTCCTTTGTCTCCATAAATTGAAGTATTAACGCAGTGCTCAATTCTAATTTCCTGAGTGAACTAATGGGGCTGTACAGATGTAAAACTTATTCGCTTCCGTGTACGTTATCACGCGCACTGCTTCCCGCGAATGGATGTTCAGTAGCATTTTTAAAGATCGATATCTGCAGTCATGATCTGCATGGACAACGAGATTGTTTATTTTGTTATAGATTACCTACATCACTTGGCTGCCCTCGACATTACAGACATCTGCGGCTTGGATCAAGATTTCTAAGAAATTTCATCAGGAACGATTCGAATGAGAGCTGAAGCTGGCAAATTACCCTTTTTAAGTGTAAATAGATTTTTATTAAAACGTAATAGATCAACGCTTGTGTGTGCTTGTGTGTGCTTGTGTGTTATGGGTGTATTTAACAGACTTTTGAAAAGCAGTCCATTTAGAACTAAATACTCTTGAGGGAAACACACTTAATCTGTTCATAGATACCAAATAACTCGTAATACTAACTCATATTACTAAGTATTACTAAAATAGAATGGGACGATTGTTCAGCTGTGAAGGGACAAACTTCTAGTTGAAAACAGGCCGTATTTCAGCTGGTTCGAGCTGAAATGAAGCTTCCAGCTGACATATGCAGCTCGAATTAGGCTTATTGCCTGCTGTGTCGCCTGGAGGTGTGCTCCATGTCGGCGAGTAACAAGTTGGACGAATGCCTGCAACACTTCGCTGGAACCACGAACTACTGGTTCCATTAGCTGCTGGTTTCATCGCCTACTGGTTCCGACACCTGCTGGAACAACCAGAAACTGGTTACATGCGCTACTGGTTTCATTAGCTGCTGGTTTAATCACCTGCTGCGAATGTGCTAATAAACCAGCACTAATGTAACCAATAACCAACCAGCACGCAATTTTCACTTGGGAAGGTAACCACGAAAGAAACGGCATTCGTTGGGAAGTCCCCAGACGAAAATAGTGCAGAGAAACAAAAACGAAGCAAATGGAGAGAAAAAAGTGTGTATCAAGACAATCGTGTGGTCACTTATCGCGGCTAGACGCAGAAAGACGCGGATCACGTGCTCCTGGTGTGTACAATCAAGATAGCCGAAGCACTGCCGCTAGAACAGGCAGCGCATCACGTTCAAAAACCGCTGCCCCTTCTTTATTCAAGCAAGCATGCCTGCAGAGTGCTGCCGGCTTCTGGCAATAGTAGAAACTTCGTTCTGAATTGATAAAGGGCTCAAAGACTGCAAGCACACGGACTGCCAATCTCGGAGCACAATCTTTACCGCTATGCGTGGTAGAAATGGAAATCCGGCGTTGCCTTTCGCAATTTTCGTTCATCACCCGATAAGATTTCTTTGGGCGGTCTATTTTACGCGAGCCGTCGTAACTGTTCTTGTTGTTTTGCGGCTTTTTGCACAGTTGTGTTTTCTAATTCAGCTCAAATGCTAGGTCTTCACTCAAACATGTAAGCCTAATTCAATTATTCAGACAACACACCAATGTATTAAGTTTACTGTGCTAAAGCTCTACGCAAAATATACAGTGTAAGACTGCTTTGTTTTTGTGAAAATTGCATGATCTAGCCAGCGCATGGCAGGACCAGCAGAGAATATATAAACAGCGAAGCAAAGAAACAAAATATGACTTATGATTCAGCTCCATAAATTTACGCCTGGACAAAGTAACGATGTTCGTAAAATATTTCCAAGAAAAACGCTCATGGTCCCGATATCCTCCCTGAAACACCAACGAAAAATACAACAGAGGGGTTACGGAGTCACTCCAATTATCCGAGGTCAAATTCTGGTAAACCGTATTCCGGCTGCTCCTGGCAATTTCTTAAATGAACCGCAGCGAAAGCCTGGCTCGAGATTTTCGGAATAAAACGTTCTTCGAATACAGAGGTCGTTAGAGGACGCGAATTTCAATTCCAAGAGGCGGTGATTTTCTTTTGGGATGCACTTCCTCTTTCTTCACCTAAGAAAACCAACATACCTTAACACACCGACGACATTACTTGCCCAGGAGAGTAATAATTAGGTTGTACTACAACCTAAAATATATACATCGCTTGAAAGAAGAGTAATGCAAGATCCGGAGAAAGAGGGCGCTCTTTAGTGATTTATTATTATCATATAGAATCGTAAAAACCGAATAAATATGACTGTTTTGGAAGTGTCTTAGAGAACGGAGGGCTTGATTATAGGGGAGTAGCTGTACAAAAAGTGCCTCGTCCTCATCAGCGGTCATGTTCTATAAAATCTGTGTTTTCTTGTGTTACACCAGAACGGTTCCTGAATAAATATTAGGCTGCTGCCTTCACCTCGTATCAAGATTTATTTGATGCCACTCTACACGGTGCCGTTTTTTTCGCTGGGCTGCTTCACACGGGTTTGAAACTCACCCTCGGCGTTCTTGTTGTGCACGACGATGCTGCATACCGCCAGAAACGTGGTGCGAAGAACTCCGCTCGGTAGTCTTATTTTTTTTATACGATGCAAGGTGTTGCAAGGAGATATTGATCTTTCAAATAAATTGGGTACTATCAATTCGCTGTTTATTAACCATGTTTATCCGGGTGCACGTTAAAGAACCCAAGTTGGTCGAAATTTCCGGAGCCCTCCACTACGGCGTCTCTCATAATCATATGGTGGTTTTGGGACGTTAAACCCCACATATCAATCAACCATGTTTATTCACCTAACTGTCGACGTCATACTAAGGCATGCGTAATATTAGGCATGTGGATTTGTTTTTCAATGTTTTCGTTCTTGAAACGTGATTTTCTTCCGCTTCAGATTGGCGGTGGTGGTAATCGTTCCCTTTTCACCAGGCGTGACTTTGCTGCACTTGTGTCTCCGCATGAAAGGGGCGTTTTTAATGAACTCCGCTGATGTAGGCAAGAAAAATATGCCTTTCCTAAAAGCATTGAGTTGTGACGCCGCTTCTAAAGGAACAGCGAAAATATCGACATTTGTTGGGAAGTCCCGAGACAGCAACAATACAAAGAAACATAAAAAAGAAAATAGATAGAAAAGGCGTTTATCAAAACGATCGTGCGGCCGCTTATCGCAGCTAGACGGAAAATGACGCAGCTTACGTGCGCCTGGTGTGTACAATCATGAGAGCCAAAGCACTGCCTGTCGAACAAGCCGCGCCCCACGTTCAAAAAACACTTCCCCCTCTCTTTTCAAGCAAGTTTGCCTGCAGAGTGCTGCCGACTTCTGGCAGTAGACGACACTTTATTCGGATAACTTATCGGCCTCAAAGACATGTAGCATCCAGAAAGGCAATCTCGGAGCCCAAGCTTAACCGCTATGCACTGTGCACTGGGAATTTTGGCGTTGCCTTTCGCGATTTTTGTTAATCACCTGGTCAGAATCATTCGAGCTGTTGATTTTACGTGATCTGTCGTAACTGTTCTTGTTGTTTCGCGGCTCTATGTACACTTGGGTTTCGTCAATCATCTCAAATGCTAGGTATTCTCTCAAACATGTCTGCCTATTTTGATTATTTTGACAACACATGCATTGTCTTGAGTTTACTGTGCTATAGCTCTACGCAAAATATACACTGTAAGACTTCAGTGTTTTTATGAAAATTGCATGATCTCGACAATGAGTAGCATGATCAGCAGATAGTATATAAACAGCGAAACATAGAAATAAAATATTAGTTTTAATTCAGCTCCCTAAATAACGCCTGGACAAAGAAACGATGTTCGTAAAATACTCCCAAGAAAAACGCTCATGATCCCGATGGCCTTACTGAAAACCAGCAAAAAGTGTAACAAAGCGGCCAAATAGTCACTCTGCTTACCCGAAGTGAAATCCCGCTAAAACGTTTTCTGGCCGCACGACGGGATTTATTCAGCAAGCCGCAATCAAAACTTGGCTGGAGAGGTTCAGAATGGAAATTTCTCCATATAGAGAGGTTGTTAGAGGTCAGGCATTTGACTTCCCACGGGCAGTGATTATCTTCTGTATTGCACTTCCGCTTTCTTCGCTTAAGAAACCTAACATACCTTAACACACCGACGACATTCTTTGCCCGGGAAAGTAATTATGAGCCTACCGTAAATTACAAGATTTTAATCGCTTAAACTAAGACTAATGCAAGATCCGATGAAGGA